AAGAACTGACACCCAAGGTTGTCCCTTGAGCCCCTCCCCTGCCCCCCCCCACACAGAGAGGGGCAGAGGGAAGGAGGGAGATGCTTTTCCAATCCTACCTGCAATGTCCTCTGCTTAATCTAATCTTCCAGGCTTCTTGGTCTCTCTCCGAGATAAACTGGGAGACAAACTGTGCCACCTGTATACTCCAGCAGAGGGCACTGTAGTTCTGGCTTGTCAAACATGTATGGCGCAGTTCAACCAACAAGGCACTTGGCCAGAGACCCTCTGCTTTTGTAATGTATAGAATGACCGTATGGAACGGTGTCTTGCAAACCTAGACATACTTGTAACTGCTATGGGCCACTAAAATTTCATCCCCAGGAAACCAGATGGGGAGATGTTCCTGCATTTCACAACCAGGTTGAAGCCTCTGGGCCCACTTCCACGCTGGTGACTTTGCCTCTCGGCCACTTTTCCTACAGAGGCTCAGCCTTTCCTCACTGCTCTTCCCTGGTGGGGCTGACCCAACTCACTAGGAGAGTGTGACCAACTCAGTCCCAGTCCTTTCGGCTTCCAATGCTGACGTTAGGAAATTACATCCGACATTCAGAAAGGCTCTCCCTCTGGATCAAGGCCATGATGTCGTATCCCCTATCCAACTCAAGCCTGTTCCAGGTGAGCGAACACACTTGCTGAAACCTCCCCCCCGCATCCGCTGTGGACATCTGGAAGGGGACCGATGCCTTCCGTCCAAGTTCTCCATCTCTCCTGGAAGCCTTGACGGAGCTAGTTCAAGGAGCGGTTGTGTATGGTCAGGAAGAATCAAGTCCCCGGAGCTACTCAAGTTGAACTCATGTTTCTGCCACGTGTGAGTTTGTGACCTCAGGCAAATGACTAAACTTCTCCATGCCTCTGTCTCCTTTTGTAAAATAACGGCCTCTGCTTTACAGAGCTGTGCAGGGTGCACTCGTATTAGCCCTCTTGATCTCTAGAAAATCTACTTTACCTAAGTCGCCTGAAGCACTAAGTCCGTGTACTGCTCATGTCCATCTGTTTTCCTACACTCAGACTCAGCAGGCATGCCACTAAAGATACAAAGGAACTGGCCCCATATGGCAAACATACCCTGAGGATCTGGTTCCCTGGGCTCATGTCCACTTCCTCCCAAAGCACAGACAATTACCTCACATCAGGGAGACAGTAAGTACAAAACAGCCCTCTGAACATACTTCAGCAAACCATCTTAATATGCCCAGGTCAATTTCAAGGATTTAATACTTCTATTTGATATGACCTTGTAGATGGGGGTCATTTTTTTTCTTTTTTAAAAGTTATATTTTTATTTTATGTGCACTGGTGTTTTGCCTGTACATATGTCTGTGTGAGGGTGTGAGATCCCCTGGAACTGGAGTTACAGACAGGTGTGAGCTGCCATGAGGGTGCTGGGAATTGAACCCAGGTCCTCTGGAAGAGCAGCCAGTGACTCTTAACCGCTAAGCCATCTCTCCAGCCCCCTCGTTTCTCAAATTAAAAAAAATTTGTGTACATATGTATGGTCTGGATGTACATGGTATGCGTACATGCATGTGTGGATGAGTATGCCTGTGTTCACACAGAAGCCAGAGGAGGGCACCGGATGTTCTGTCTCTACCTTGCTCCTTTGAGGCAGGGTCTCTTGGTGAATTTGGAACCCCCACTTTTTGTTGAGGATTGCAGCCATCAAGTATCGGTGACCCCATTTTTATCCCCTCAGTGCTGGAGTTACAGGCATGCATGGGGCTATACCCAGCCTTTCTGTGGGTCTAAGGATACGAACTCTGCTTCTCATGTGTTCAGCACAGCAAGGGTTAGTACAGTAAGCTAACGCTCCTAACTGCTAGGCCAGCCAGGCAGCTCAGGAGTCATGGTATTTTGTTTATTTGTGTGTTTGTTTTATGTGCACTGGTGTCTTGCCTTCGTGTATGTCTGTGTGAGGATGCTGCATCCCTAGAACTGGAGTTGCAGACAGTGGTGAGCCACCATACAGGTGCTGGGAATTGAACCCGGGTCCTCTGGAAGAACAGTCAGTGCTCTTAACCATTGAACCATCTCTCCAGCCCCCCAAGTCATTGTGTTTTTACGTACAATAGCATAGCATTTTCTCTCATTCTGATCTTGTATGAATTTCTAGTCAAGAGGTATTACTGTTTGTAAACCAGCATGCCAAGACAATTGCAAATAATGTGCTGGATACTGTCATCATTAGGACCGAAGAATCTGGAACCCACCCTTCGTCTACAAGTCAGACTTCAAGGAGTCACTGAGTCTGTATTCTTCAACTGAAAATATTGGAGCCAACCAGCCTTGGTTCCAGCAGAGGCATGGAGCCAAGGTATGGATAACTAGATTCTAGGGCCATCCCTGGCTCACAGGACACCCTATAGTGCCGAAAACTCTGCAACATTAATTAGGATGAGTACAAGGTCCACCCACGTACTCTCATATTACCAAGGATGTCTCCAAAGTGCAGTCAAAGCATTAAATGTGGTTTTTATGGTGACCCCCAACTTATGGCCCAGTTCTAAAAGAAGCTATTTACAGTCATTACCATCTATTTCCCAAGCACCATTCAGGACAGCATCAATTAGCTGTGTGAAGAACTGTGATACCACCTGCCAACGAGATGTTGATTCAGCTCCCCCATCACAGACGAGTTCGTGCATCATGTCCTGTATAGAGAACATTCCTCAGTGACCATGACAGGTTTCTTACCCACCCTTCACCGCAGGCGCCTTTTCAAACCTGGACGTCTATGGGGGGAGCTGTAAGTTACCAAGCATATCTCCCAGTCTGACAAAAAGAGAAATGGAAGACAAAATCAAATGAACCCGAGGAGCAAGGTGTATGCGTGATTCAAGTGGCAGGCATCCAAGTGGGTGAGACTGGGGAGCAGACTCCAGACGTAGCTGCCGCCCATATGGGAAGCCGAGAGCCTGCTGCCTGAACTCTTGGAAATCACAGAGAACATCATCTGGTTGTGTCTCAAGAACAGCCTGACGCCTAAGGACCAGACGGCGCTCTTGCTGTCACCTGCGTTTAGAACCATAATTTACTCTCAACCCGGATCCCGACACCCACTAGAAACACGCCTGCCATGACTCCTCATTACTCCTCAAGTCACTGCTACTTGTCCATGGACATATTGCTACTTCTACCTTGCCTGCAGCTGAGCAACCAGGCTCAAGTGATACCATTTCCAGGAAATGACCCCTCATTGCTGGAACCTACGATTAAGTACAGATCAGTGCCTGCTTCAGGCCAGGATCCCCAGAGCAGCATTCTTTTTTTTTTTTTTTTTTTTTTTTGAGACAGGGTTTCTCTGTGTCGTTCTGGCTGTCCTGCCCTGGATCTCACTCTGTAGACCGGGCTGGCCTCGAACTCACAGAGATCCGCCTGCCTCTTGCCCCCCCCCCCACTCCTTTCAGGACTGCCAACCTCTCTTACGTCTTCAGCTTTACAGAGGGGGCATTTAAATTGGGCCTCCCTCTGGTGGTGTCGTCAGTTCTAGAACGTTCAAGATCGACTTTGGAGAACAGAAAGGAGAAGGGAGGAGAGAGACGAATGGGGAGTGAGGCCAAGGAAGGAAAGAGGGAAACCAACCATGAGGAGTCGGGAAAGAACACAGCAGAAGCAGCACCCTCCCCCTTGAGATGAGTCAGCGATCCTCACAGTTTCCAGAGGGAACAGTAAATCTGATCTAGTCCCTGACAAACACTAATAAGAAAGGAAAGTGAAAATCGGATGGAGTGGGTCAGAGCCACGGCTCTGTGAAGCAGAACAGAGACGCTTAGAACAGAAGGTGAAGAGCTGGGTCTTGGGAGCCTGGCTAGGGGAGAAGGGGCCACCGCTTGGGTGACAACAGGGGTGGACATCTTGGGGCGACCCTAGACAACACCCGAAGCCGTTCTGTTCTCCATCGTCACGTCGTCACAACCCGCTCCTCTTCAGGGTTCTGAGGCGCAGACACTACCGCCCTGGGCGTTACGGTGGGCACCGCTGGCTCTGAGGATACAGTGCTGTGTGCCGCTGGGAGAAAAGAGATGCCACGCCACCGCACCCCTCCCCCATGCCACCACGCGCGCCCCCCCCCCCATGACCATCACTAGCAAAAGCTCCTTGCAACTTCATCTTTACCTCAAAATAGAGACCGTGCCTTAAATCCCAGCACTCGAGAGGCAGAAACAGGCAGATCTGTGTGAGTTCAAGGCCAGCCTGGTCTCCATAGCAAGTTCCAGCCCAGCCAGGGTTACACAATGAGATGCTGTCTCAGAAGAAAAGTAAAATCCAGATGTGTTTAAGCCCAGCCTGTTTCACCTTGCCTTGAGAGGCATGGGGAAGTAGAGCTGGTCTTCTGTGAGACGTCTGCTTTGTAAGAGCTAAACCCCCCCCCCCCCCCCGAACATGACGGACACCGTCTCCCACTACACAAACCTTCCCAGGTCCCCCGAACGCTTGTCCTTCTCGATATCACCTAGCACTCCAGGCTCCAATCAACAGAAAGCTTCCTCACTCTCCCACACTTCTGAAACACTTGCCATCCTGCAGCCTGAAGTGCCTTCCCAACTCTGCTCAGGCCCAGGAACTGCTTATCCTCCAGGACTTAACAATAACTTCCCCTTTCAAACCATTTGACGTTCTATAAACATGTCAGTCTCAGGAGAGTCTGCGCCCAGATAAGAAGCCATTTTTTTTTTTTTCACTTACAGTAGTCCTAAATACCTGGCCAGAATCCCGAGTCCTGTAGGAAGCCACTTAAAATCTGGGAGTCAGGGAGAAATGGGGAAGGATTCTTGTAAGCACAGTTCTTCCTTCCTCCCCCTTAACTCAGGCTTGATAACTTGACTCCTGGGATGCTGAGAATTGAATGTCAGCAGCTAGGAAAGGTCCCTGCTCTGCACCTGGTTGGCATGGAGACCAGGAAATCAAAGAATAAAGTAGCCCCATTTGCCAAGCACTCAAGACGCGCCCTCTCATTTCAGACCTGGAGGATGGAGTGTCTAGGCTTCCCCCGATCATCTCAACAGACGGTAATTATTCCGTACACCAGAATAGCCACGAGAGGTACCAGGAAGCTGTACGGAAGACGCTGCTAAAAACATGTAAGTACCTTGGCGCGGAAACCACGAAGTGAGCCTGAGTCCCTAAAGAGTGACTGGGGTGTCATATGGTGATGGAAGAGGGGATGCTGTCCTGTTCTGCGTCCTCCCAGAACTGTGAGGACGATGACACAGAGCTGCGACAATGTAAGTGCTCGGTTATTGTCACACTGCACCGCTGAGGAATGGAGCCAGCACAGCCATTTGAACTGAGCTGAAACACCAAACAAGCTGGGTGACCTTGGGGACGTCCCTTTGGCCGGCTAACCTCTCGCAAGCACTAGAAAATGGGAGCCCTTGAACTTTGGAAAAGCAAGTCGGGCAGGCTCTCAATGTGCACAGTCTGATGTAGGAACCTTCCAGGAACTGTGTTCTCCCAAGGAAGCCATGCCTGGGGCTGAAGAGAAGGCTCAGTGGTCAAGAGTGCTGGCTGCTCTTCCACAGGGGCAGAGTTCCGTTCCTAGCACCCATGTGACAGTTCACAACTGCCTGTAACGCCAGCCCCAGGAGATCTGACACTCTCTTCCGGCCTCCAAGGCTCCCTCATGTGGTAAACATTCAACAGACACACATGCACACACAAATTAAAAAAGAAAGACAGAGAAAGCCATTCCCAGGACTCTTCCCTCCTTCCCTTCCATGCGTCCCTCCCTCTTCTAGTAAATTCCGATTTTGCTTCATTAGAAAAGGACAACCCCTAAAAGGTCACAATCTGCATTCCGTTTATGTAACTAATATTCTTACAGTGACAAGGGTCCAGAAATGAACAGGTCACTGTACCAAAGGCCACTGAACGGCAGCTCTGCATGTTTGGGATCTCTTACAATCCAAGACAGCTTGGAATCCTTTGTGAATTAATGCCCCAATTGCGGCAGGGTACTGTGGTCCTGTAAATGTCACCACTAAGGGTCAGGGAATCTCCCAGTAGTATTTCTCATATCTCTGTGACTCTGTAATTATTTCAAACTAGGTCCCCGCAACCCTGTTCCGGGCATGGTCTTTCAGTGCATTTCACTCTACCACCAGGCTATATCACCAGCCCTTCTTTATATTTTTACTTTGAGACGGGCTCTCACTAAATTGCTCAGGCTGGAACTTGTGGTCCCCCGGCCTCAGCCTTCCAGGTAGCTGAGATCAGAGGCCCGCACCATAGGTTAGGCCGGAATTAAAAGACTTCAGAGATCAAAACAGGCAAAGGTTCAAAAGGGGCACTTAAGTTGTTTCTAATGGCAAAAAATCATCTCGAACGTATTAACTAATAGGAAAAGAATGAAGTAAAAATGGTACATTTCATCAATGAATTAAGTACTTAAAAAAACTCCCAAGACTAAAGAGCAAACCAGAAAATATTAGGCCGTAATTCAACCTTAAAAATATGAAAATTGGTGGGCATGGCAGCGCATGCCTTTAATCCCAGCACTCAGGAGACAGAGGTAGGATCTCTGTGAGTTCGAGGCCAGCCTGATCTACAGAGAGAATTCCAGGACATTCAGGGCTGTTACACAGAGAAATCCTTTCTTGAAAAATAATAACAAACAAACAAACACCACTTGAATCAGTAGATCCATCTTGTACACATCTCAGTGGGTTGCCTACTTATTTTCCCACCATCTTAGGACATCTTAGAGATGGGCTTACTTAGCAACAGGAAAAACCAAGACTAAACCATCTGACCGTGAAGTGTGTGAGATGCTGGAATCCGGAAGTGAGGTAGGGTGTGGTGAACACATTCCCAGGACCTCTTCCTCCGGCCACAGCAAGTTGCTGGACGGCGCTTTCTATCCTGAGACCAAAAAAAAGTGAATCTGGAGAAATTCAATAACCTGCCTTTCTTTCCACCCAATCAGTCCCCAATCAGGTCTTCAGAGTCCCAGTGACTGATGCTCAGAACTTCAGCTTCTGGCGGCCCCAAAATCCAGGCGTGCGTCCAGAGGAAGCCATCCCATGGATGCAGGGTCCACGCCATTGTCTCATTAAAAGCCCAATGACCAGGTTAGGCTGAGTCGGGTCAGGGTGGGAGACTGGGGGAAGTTCTCCCCCCCCCCTCACTGAAACCCATAGTATGTTTCAACTCCACTTAAAGAGCTGATAGTAAGCTGGGTGTGATGATGCACAACTTTAATCCCAGCACTCAGGAGGCAAAGGCAGGTAGATCTCTGTGATCTGTGAGTTCAAGCCCAGCCTGATCAACAGAGAATTCCAAGACAGCCAGAGCTGCATAGAGAGACTCTGTCTCAGAAGCAGTGGAGTGAGTATCAGAGAAGAGATCTGAGGCTTATCAAGGAGAGTGGGCCTCAGACCCTGGGCAGTGTGGTCGCCACACAGTATAGTTTGAGATCTGTCTGCTTCGCTTGGTGGGTGAGAGACTTCTGAACAGGCACAGAATCAACATCTCTAGCTTTCCTGTGGGCTCCCGAGGATGTTTCTGCTCCCACCAGCATCCATTAGCTGCAATCATCCTCGGTAGCCCTACTTCATCCCCCCACCCCCACCCCTGCCCATTCTGCGCAGAGGCAGCGGTGAGGACCATTTTTAAGGATGCCCCCTTCCCCTTAGCCTGGCCTGGCTGAATCTGAGACACTTTCTCTCTCTTCCAGATATATGGATCATTCTATTCTCAACGATAAGACCTTCACTCTATACTGAGGAGGGGTGACGGTGGCCCAGTTCTCAGGCTGACGAGAAGTGGGAACCGAGCGGGAGGAAGCACAATAAACAAACAGAACTAAAAGGCACCGCTTCACACTGGGTGTGGGAGGCCGGGGAGTTACCCCAGGGCCCCAGACTCCTGCGAGAGCCGGTGTGTGAGGTTCCCGAGGAGGCCAGATCTTGGTCGGAGAGGCGTGGAGGGGCCGGAACACTGGAAGGACAACCACACAGGTCTTGACCTAATGCCTGACAGGGTCAGAGTAAGCATCTGGGAAGACACACTTGTCCTCATGGTGCTGAAAGACCCAGGGCAGTCACGCCCTCTGAAGACACTGCCGCTCTATCCTGACAGGCAGAAAAACCACAGGAAGCCATTAGGTCACAGATGAGAGCCGCCCAGATATCCCAGGGACAAGAGCTGGCCAGTTGCACCAGGCTTTGTCGCTTCTGACCCAACCCAGGGCCCAGATAGTTGCAAAGAACAGGACATTTTTTTTTTTTACAAAGAGTTTGATTTTATTGATATTTAAATATATTAAATATTTCACTGAAATACATGGTACACCACCCTCCCCCACTCCCACAGTGGTTACATTTATAAAACCAAAGCCCATGGCCTCCCGTTACCCCAACACCTCCACCAACCAGTGAGGAAAGGGGCAACGGTGGGTGACTCAGGAAGGCCATGGCTGGCACTGTGGTACAGGGAGCCAGGGTGTGGACAGGCCCCTCCCCCTGGCAAGAAGCAGACATATCACCCAAAGCTGAGCTCTTCCCATTCTGGCTTACTCACTCCCACCCCGATGACATCAAGTCGTCCCTTCCTATCCGGGAATACAGCTTGGGGAGACGGAGGAATATTCTGTCTGGACCAGCTAATCTTCTCTCTTCTCAGCCTCAGCTAATCAAGTGCCCAGTGGTCCATCAACTGGAACATGGAAGTTCCCAGGGAGGCAGTACCAGGTCAGAAACCAGGCCTCTGCAGAGAGCTGGTGCCAGGAGCATGAGCAAGGCAAAGCCTGCCCCTTCCATACCCCCACGAAACGCTTTCTGCTCTGCCCTCTCGTCGGCGTCTAAGACAAAGTGATCTTCAATCAGGACTCTGGCTTAAATAGGTTCAGACAGACAACCAAGGCACCAACTAATTCAGCCCAGGGTCCAGGGGGCTGCAGGGGTCAAAGGCAGGCAGGACAGAAAGAGAAGAACAGAGTCCAACCCTTGCAGGCTTCGTGAGGATGGGAAGCCAGGCCTGGAGTCTGGCCATGCTAGATTCAGGCTGAAGGCTTGGGAGAACCGAGTTTAAATTTCCCAGCTCCATCCCCTAGTACCAAAATCTGGGTCCTCAGAGGGATCCCACACTACCCCAGCCAGAAAGTATACCATACCCCAAGACACAAGCTGAGGGACCCAGGGAGTGCCTGAGCCTCCACCTCATCAACTTTCAAGAGTTCAAGTGCAAGGAACACTAGACGTTAAGCAGGTGCTTGGGCCCCTGCCCTAGGCAGGGAGACAGTCAGACTGCACATGTGGCCCCCGAATGGCACTTAGGGATTTGGCACAAAAAGGACTCCTCTTCCCAGACGGCTCTTCATTTTGCTTCCAAACCCCATCCCATTCCTGCGCAACCTGGGCATTTCCCTCCATCCCTTGAAACAGGAAACCCTGACAACAACAGAAGGCAGAGGTCCCCAGGAGAGAGGCAGCCCCACGCAGGGAGCTGAGGAGCTGGAGCACACGGACACACAGAGACCTAGAAAACACACACACACAAAAGCAACATGCACACACAGCTACACAAATGCACAGGCCCTCCCTGGTGCCAGACTCAGGAGGAGGCCAGGTTTGAGGTCAGGGTCACCAATTTCTTGGAACCCTGACTCTTTTCTATTTGGCAATATAAGGGGTAGAGGCGCTCCATGCCCCCTTGCCAGCAGACAGCAAGTGAGCACTCGGGCCGAGGGAGCTGACCCTGGCCACACTGGGGCCAGGTCAGTGTGGCGCTATCCTTCTTCCCTGGCCGCCCGTACTCTCCGGCACCTGCAGGTGAACGTCCAGTTCCTGCTCTTCCGATGTCCCCACACACACGGGTTTACACTCTGGCTGGTCATTTTCACAGTACCAATGGGGCCAGATACCCCTTTCCCTGGAGCGTGCAGGAACTGAGGCTAAGTCTGCGTTATCAGAGGTCCCTTTGTTCCCCTTTGGGGACAGATCACGGGACTAGGATTTGGCAAATGGAAACATTCCCCTGAAATGTGGTCAGAGCTGGGTCCCCACAGTACCTCCTTCCTCTGCCTTGTGCCTAGGAAGGAGACTTGGCTGGGGCTGGGAGTGCCCAGGACCCGTGCTGAGGGCACAGCCGAGCAAAGGCAAGCATGGAACAGGCATTCCTCATGCCCGCCCCGGTCTTCGTACAAAATAGTCCCAGGAAAAACAGGGGAAGGGATGACCCAGCCCTGAGCCTGTCGCCCAGACAGGGAAACAGCAGGTAGAGTGAACTGCCATTGGACTCTCACGCAGGAGGGCTACCTGGCCTCTGCCGCCGCTGCCGCCCCCTCCGCTGTTTCCGCAAACGAGGACAGCAAACGGCCCCTACTCCAGTTCAGAAAGTCACTTGGATAATCCTCTTGGTGTCCCCTCCTTCGCCATTTCGAAGGCAGACGAACATGGTCGGAGCACAGCCCACCGCGGTGGTCCCTTTTGCCGTCAGCAAGATCTGGGGAGGCCCAGTGGCCCCTGCGGCAGCTCCACCCAGCGAGCAGAAAGTCCGTTCAATGCCCACCTTGGTCCCTTCAGCTGAATCTCAGCTGCGCTCTGCTAACTGCTGGGACCTCCATTGAGGAAGTAGGTGGTCATCTCCCCCTTACCCTTCACCTTGACCACCCCTCGACACTCCAGTTGGTAGCCCTTGGCAGCTAGAACCTGGTAAAGGTCCGTGGTCACCTGGGGAAGCGGGAAGGGAGCCTGCTTAGCCCGGATTCCTCGATGCATTGACAAGAAACCCAGTAGGGAGTTCTCCATCAGGCCAGCTCCCCTCCCTACCCCCACAGCCAGAGAAGAAAGCCACCCTGCCCCTGGCCTGCAGAGAGACTGGTGAAAGCCCTCTAGACCCTCACCCCTCCCAACCTGCCTCACATCCCCTCACCTGTATTCGGTCAGGAACCCCAGTGCTGTCCATACGACTGGAGACATTCACTGTATTTCCCCAGATGTCATACTGTGGCTTCCGGGCCCCAATGACACCTGCCACAACTGGACCCATGTTCAACCCTGAAGTAGAGATAACAGCAAAAGTCGAGAGCAAGAGACTGAGGCTAGGATGCACCAGGATCACTCCAGCAATTCATCTTCCCCTGCATCTTGAGAAGGACCCAAGGGGGGAGGAGAAAAACGTGGAAAGGGGACGATTGTTCTGGTGATTTAAAACAACAAAAGTCTGGGTGTGACAGCTGAGGTTGCTTCCCTGAGTCCAGACAACTATTGCTGTACACGCTGGATGCATCTCTGCGTTCACCCCTCATATTGCTGCTACCCTCTTACGGACAAGATGTTGGGGTAACTAACTTCCCGAGCCTGTAAACAGAGCTGTGGGAAGTCAAGCCAGACTCCAGACCTAGGCTGTTAATCACTGCCTTCCACCAGTGCATTCGAGAAGTGTCTCTCGAATCAGACTGGGCACACACAGATGCCAGACAGTGGCCTTAGGACAAAGCTGCCTACTAGTCCTCCAAGCTTGGCCGAGCTCAGCTCTGAGGGTCATTCTCCTTTTAAAGGGGGGAGGAAGGTGCTTAATGTGAGAATTAAAACGCACTCAACATATCTAGGACAAGACCCCAGCCCACGGAAGACTCAAAGTAAATGGTCTTTGTCCTTAGTACCAGACTTGCCATGAGGGTGGGAGGCGGGAACTCTAAGGAATCCTGATGGAGAATGGGGGACCGTACTCAACCCATACCTTCAGCTTTACCCACAAACCGTCCCAGAAAGACAGACAGGCCCTCACCGATCTTCATCTGGAAATTATTGAAGGAGTGTTCATTGATGTGCTTCATCTGCTCCATGAGCCGCATGGCGTAGTCTGCCAGGGCGGTGATGTGGGAGCGGCCCACCTGATCATAGGTGCTGGCGTTCAGCCCAGAGGCGGCCATGTAGGTGCTGCCGATGGTCTTGATCTTCTCCAGCTGCTGGAACCTCTCCTCACTGATGATCTGGACGAGGGCGGGGTTGGGGGAGGGGGAGGAGGTGTGTGTGTGGGGGGGGGTGTCTGTCAAGCCAGACCCTGGTCTCTTCAAAGCTCACTCCTTGTCATTCCTTAGCTCTCTTCTCCTCCGCCCTCAGTAGCCCCCACTGTCTGGGTGAGCCCCCTTCCAATTGCTATCCTCAGTGTCGGTCTGAGAAGCCGAGAAAGGCACTTCGGGACCCTGGGCAAGGACCTGGGTACCCAGCTTCAGAAGGTTAATGATGGTCCCCTGCAGCAGAAACACTCTGACGTGTTTTGGGGAACTGTGTCCCAGAGTGAGGGAGGGACTTTCCTCATAATAACACTCCATCCCTGACCTGGGTGTTCAGGACAGGTCCTCCCATTTTGCTCCCATTTTCACTATTCAAGAGACCATCTCGCTTGCTCGGTCTCATAGGGATTTTCCCACAGACTACGGTCTCCCTCCTCCATCACATCACCCGATGCCTATCCATCCTGTCATCCTCCTCCTGGACCCTCATGTCCTCTTCTGATTCTCAACAAGGATGACCCCGGCCCACTGAGGCTGACCACCTTGCCGCCTCTGACGGGGCCAGGGACGGGACTCACCCCGTCTAATCCACGGCTTTTCCACCCCGAGTCTGCCCCATTCCCCTGGTCCCCGAACCACCCCCACTCGGCCAGCACTAGTCAAGGAGCAAGCACCTCATCAAAGTCGGCGATGATCTCATTGAGCAGCCGCAGGCACTCGACGCCCTCGTTGTTGGCCTCCAGCTCCACATAGAATTCGGAGAAGTTGGCAATGGAGGCGAACATGACAGCCACACACTCGCAGGACTGGTAGTAGAGCTCATCGTTGCGGCGCTCGCGGGCCAGGAAGTGGGCGGCCACGTCCTTGGGCAGAATGTTGTGCAGCAGGCGCCGGTTGTAGGCCTGAAGCTCCTCCATCTCCTCCTTCTCCCCTGTGGCCTGTGGGCACCACATCCGTCACCCACTGCCCAACATCCACAAGGGGCGGGCGCAGTGGCCAAGGCCTGAAGATGGGCATCAGAGGGAGCCACGTGGAGGAAGAAAGACCCGGGCACAGAAGGCCTAAACGACAGGCAAAGGGGTGACGGGGGCAGGGGCAGGGTGGGAGAGGGGACAGGAGATGTGGACATAGAGAAGGCATGGAACCAGGGTGGGCTCGGGCGGCCTCAGCCCTGGCCAGTTAGCAAGAGGTGCGCTCCTGGCTTGGCCTAGGCTCTGCCCCCCAGAAGCCTCTCCCTCCCACGGAGGTCCATCCGAATCACCTGGAGTTTCCAGAGGAAGTCCAGGCGGGCGGTTGATTCCACCTGCTGTGCGTGCAGATACAGGGCCAGGGCAAAAACCAGCAGAATCACGGGGGTCATATATTTGAGGGCCACCCTCCCTACAGCTGGGCTGAAAATAACCAAGAGGCCTGCTTGGTGTCTGGAGGAGACACCGACCAGCCCCCCAAAATTGCTGTCTCGGAGCCCCCACTTACCAGTCCAGCCCATCAAAGGTCTCATTGGAGGAAGCCCTGGCAGGAAGATACAAAAGTCACTGGCTGCTGGCTGCCAGAGGGATACTGGAGGGCCACAGAGACTCCCTGGATGAGCCCAGTCACTAATGCAGCCTGTGGGCAGAGCCTCCGCTCATATAAATTAGCCCAACGGGGGCAAAGGTTAAGCCTTTCCCGAGCAGGTCTTCCTCAGCTAGCCGTTAAACAGGCCAGGACAAGTTGCTTCAAAGCCTCGTCAGGGAAACAGGGGTCAGACCTAAAGTGCCACATCTGAAAGGTTCGGCATGTGCCAAGGATGTCATCAGGCTCCAGAAGCGTTCGTCACTGTACCAGTCCCCACTGGCCCGAGAGACAGGTCGTGCTAACATTTACCGAGGAGAAGTTAACTCACTAACGTTACAAAGCTAATGAGAAGCAGGCTGAGGACTTAAGCCCAGCAGACTCTTACCGTCCCTGTCACACACTATGGCCACCTATCACAAGGGGCCAGAAGGGTTGGCTTTTAGTCAGAGCTCTGCCCCCATGCAGTGAACTACACATGGTAAGACAGTGGGCAGAGCCGGGTGGTCGTCACAGGCACACCTTGAATCCCAGCACTCGGGAGGCAGTGTCAGGTGGATCTCTGTGAGTTTGAGGCCAGCCTGGGGTCTACAGAGTGAGTTCCAGGACAGCCAAAGCCATACAGAAAAACCCTGTCTCAAAAAACAAAAACTAAACCACAGTGGGTAGGAAAGCACCACGCAAATGTGGGGATTTTTTCTTTTTTTTTTTTTTTTTGGTCTAGCCTGAAGACCCAGGAATTTGTCACAACTGGAATTTTGGGGGGTAAATACCTAAGGTCACGTGCCAGGGGGAACTCTACCCTCTCCCTTCCCTTTCTCCCACAAGTGAGTTGTACATCCCAAGGGCCTCCGTTCCGGAGACTCTCAGCCCAGAAGGGTCGGGGAGACAGACACAGAAGGGGCCGAGAGTGAACTTACAAGCCATGGACGCCAAGCAGCAGGTCATAGTTATCAAATATGGTGGCCGGGGGTCCCAGCAAGAGCAGCACCAAATAGACGAAGCCCAAGACAAAGGTCATAGCCAGCTTGCCGATGCTGCTGATGTGCAGGAAGACAGAGCTGGCCAAGAGACTCAGCAGCATGGTCCCGACGAGGTACTGGGGGAGAGGATGACAGCAGAGGACGTGTTGGGTGACGGCAAAGACCGAGGCGGCGCCCAGAGCAGGAAGAACCCTGCATCCCCCTGCCTCACTAACCTCCCCCACCACCTTCCAGCCCCAACTCCTTTTACAGCTCATGCCCAGCTACACAGGGGCGGGGGCGGGGGGGGGGGCTGGTTACTCCTAGAGTTGGGGGAACGCTTTGAGTTCCTGGCTCTGGGGTGCCCATCACCAAGCCTGGCACAGAGGGACCGAAAACTGTGTCAAAGCAACCCCCTCTGCCTGAACACTGCTCGGACACCTCAGGGAAGCTGCAGGTGGGTGCGGTGCCCTCACACAGGGGAGCATCCAGTCCTAGAGAGTAATTGAGCTGTTGTAGGTGGCAGGCGGTGACATCCGCTGGGGTTAAATTCAGCATCCGGGCCGCGCAGGTCCTTATCGGGGTGTGATTGCAGGTGAACTGAAAAAGTTGGGGGTACGTCAGGATAGCCAAGGAAAGAAAGGGTTACAAGGGTTCCACCTGGGCGCCTTATACTTCACGGACTAGAATTCTCAGGGGTGAGGAAAGAAAGGGAGAGACAAAGCGAGAGAACGAGAATTGCCCCCGCCCCCGCCCCATGGCAGCAGGCTCCCCAAAGGCTGGAAACACTCTCAGTTCTCACAAAGTGCCTGGCATAGGGTGGAGATGGGAGAATTACCATGTTGGCGACGGCGGAGATGAACACGAGCAGAACTGAAAAGATGCCAACTGCCGTGCTGTGCGCCCGTGAGCGGACGATAGTGCGGGACAGGCGCTGCAGGGCCTTGGGGAAGAGCTTCGACAGCAAGAGACCAAGAGTTAGAAGCGACCTTGGCTAAGAGGGAAGACCAGCCAAGAAGAGGGTCTAACAAGAGACATGGCCTCCTCCTCCTCCTCCTCCTCCCTTTTCCACGGGAACCCCCGCTTCCCCCAACGGTCTCGGGGAAGTCCCCCCTACTTACAGAAGCACAGGAGCACACGGCACAGATCAGCACAGTGACCAGCAACAGCAAGAAGATGCTGGCGTAGATCCCAAGCATTAGGGTGGAGCTGGAGCAGGACAAGGACCGGGGGGAAATCAGCAAAGTCTGGGCATCCTTGTTCCCTCCCCCAGAACAGATCTCAGAGACCAGCGGCCTGCACGGGGGGGGGGGGGGGGCGGGTTAGGAAAGTTGGGGATGTAGTGAGAGGGATGGGGACTCACTGTGGGAATATGAGGAGCTGGATGAAACAGATGAAGCAAAACACCAGAAGGGCGCAGGCGACGTAGGCTCCGAAGCGAGGGTCCACCTTCCGCGAATACTGAGGGGAGAGAGGAGAGTGAGCTGGGTGCTGGGTCCTGCCTGGGCAGGGATGACATGGACAGCAAGAGCAGGGCACTCCCAGGGCCTCGTGGGGAAGAGCGGGCCCGATTTATATGAGCTGACACTCGTGCAGTGGTCTCTTCCCTCCCCAACACGTCCTCCTGCTCCTTCAACTTGTGTTTAGCCTCCCAGCTAGGCCCTCCCTCCCTCCAGCCCTGTCCTTCGGCCCCGGTATCCCCCAAACCTTCTTCTCAAGGTCCTGTCTCTGGAAGGTGAGCAGGAACCGGCGCACGTGGTCCTTACGCAGTTGGTCGATGCTCCGGGCATCAATGGCACGGCCCAGGAACTCATCCACCTCATCTTCAGGGTTCAGAGCATCTTGGGCACCACGGCTGATAACAGGACACAGGTTTCACCGGGTGCGTGAATAATGCATGACGCGTGATAAGCAATGAGAAGGGCAAGGCTCCGGCCGCAGCCGAAGAAGGCTCCGTGAGCTATGTGTGTGGTACCTGCTCCTCCTACACACCGTAAGCAATGGGAGGTCTCCGCTCCCACAGCCCATCCCAGGCCACACACGCCGCCTCCCTCCCTCCCTGGCCCGCCCCATCCCATAGACCAACTTACTTGTCTTTACTAGAATCATCAATGCCCTGGAAGAAGAAACAGAATGGGTGAGGGAGGAGAGAGGCGAACCGCGATCACCACCCCAGTACCTTTCCTATTCTATCTAATACTAGGTCGGGAGTATCTCCACACACACTTCGGGAGACTTGTGGCCCTTTGGGTGAAACTATTCCCCCCGCTTCCAATTTTAGAACACATACGTGGAGATGACAGCTATAGGAAGAAGGGGGACAGAACATTCCCTCACTTTGAGGGGAACCACAAAGTGACACACACACACACACACACAGTGCGGAGAGCGAGCCCCTCACCATCTGGCGGAACGCCTTGGAGTCCTTGGTCCGGGAGAAGGCACGATCAGGTGCCCAGCGTGGCATCAGCCCTTCCATGGAGTTGGCGCGCGTCCGCTGCAGCTTGGCCAGCATGGCCTTCTCCTCTTTCTGTGTGACCAGCGTGAACGCAGGCTCAGAAGTGGAACCCCCAGAAGGCCTTTGCCAGCGCCTCCCTGTGCGCTTCTTTCCCTCCAGCCCCTCCCAGCATTCCTGCCCTGGCCCCTGACCCGTTTCTGGCTGGCGCCCAGGATGAGGAAGGTCTCGATGCACTGTTCCTTGAGGTACGCGTTGCGTTCACCACCGCGGCCTGGCTCCACCTCATAGTCCCCATTCAGGTACTGCAGCGTGGCCCGAGTGATGTGGATGCGACTGTATGGGGCCAGGAGGTAAGACCCTGGCTCTCCCACCCACCCACCCACCCACCCCTGCCACCAACTGGACCCTTCCACTCACCCGGCCCGGCCTCCAGCCTCCATGTGGTTGGCCAGGGTCACGTCATTGGACCACACATCAAACTGCCATTTCCGCAGGCCAAGGACGCCGCAGTGCACACGTCCACTGTGGATGCCCACACGCATGTTCACGTTTACACCAGTCACTTCACGCACCAGCCTGGGGAGAGGCAACTCCAGATCAGTTCCAAGCTGTCTTCTCGTCCTCTAGTCAAGAACCCACTCTGAGGCCAGCAAGATGGCTCAGTGGTAAAGGCACCGTCTACCAAGCCTGACTACCCAAGTTTGGTCCCCGGGACCCACCACAGTTGGAGAAAATTAACTTCTGACCAGCATACATGCACCATGACAGGTGCATCCACACTTACATACACACACAGAGTAAATAAACAAATGTGATTTTAAAAATTAAAAAAAAAAATCCAAGCAGCCCAGGCAAAGATAGAAGCAGAAGCAGGGGAGAGAAGCACAGTTCTGACTAGACATGGGCAGGAGGATACCTGGGACTCAAGGACAAAGGCTTAAGAACTATGTCCAACAGGGGCTACCACTACCCTGTAGGACTGAGCTGTTGCCAGCTCTGGCCTGCTTGGCAGCTCCCTGAACCCTCCAGCAAGCAGGCTGGGGTCAGAAGCAGCACAGGGGTCTTCACACAGAGCAGAGGAAGATCCACTCTCCTCCCCATCTCAGAGATAAAGAAAGAGCTACAAAGACGAGGGAAAATTCCTAAAGACACATCAGAGTAGGAGCAGCCCGGGAAGCCACAGATGCAGAAGGCCTGGGAAGGGGCACTGCTTACGAAATGGCCTCGATCATGTCCACTCCCATCTCCACACAGCAGTGGGCATGGTCTGCCCGGGCTTCGGGCAGCCCTGACACACAGTAGTAACAGTCTCCTAAGATCTTGATCCTCAGACAGTGATTCTCCTAAAGAGGAAGAGGTGGAGAGATCACCTTCACTCTCCTGATCACCCAGCACACCTGGCCCACCACCTTCAGCGCAACCTCTGCCCCCCCACATCCACTCCCCCAAATGCCTCCAGCGATGCTGTGAGGTCATCGCGGTTGGCACAGTCCCCAGGCCCCAGCACCCTTACCGCAGCCAGCTTGTCAAACCGGGCAAAGAGCTCGTTCAAGGTCATGACCAGTTCCTGCGCAGTGCACTGGGAGGCCAGGCTGGTGAAGCCCTCAATGTCCGCAAATAGGATGCTGTGGATAACAGCAGAAGAGAGATGGGCCTCATAGCCCTCGAGGACTCTGTGACACCCGGCAACCCTCTTGGCACCGTCCCCTCTCCCCATTCTACCTGACATTATCGTGCTTCTGGATGTAGATCTTATGGAACATCATGTCTTCTTTTTTCGTGTTGATGTCTTCTTTCATCTCCATGGCAACATGCTGGGGCAACACCGATAGCAGCAGCCGTTCCTAGACCAGTGGTTTCAACCACTACTACCTCTTTGCTTCCCATTTTGATCCTTCTTGTTCCTTCCACATTCCCAGAGCCCTACCATATCTCTGTGACCTGAGCATCCCTTCTGGACCTTGGCCCGACGGATGCTGCCTAACACTGCCCTCAGAAGTCATCCATCCTAGCTCTCAATGCAGCCTCCCCACCCCCCACCCCGCCCCGCGCACTCCTGTATGCTCCCTCCCACCCTTGAACAGGACAGGACTCCCAGGGGCTTGTGTGATGATGATGCACAGTCCTTGGGGACCATTCACACTGCGCTCCATAGCCACAGACAAGGCGGCCGCAGGTCTGATCGACAAGGTACTGGGGGTGAAGAGAAAGGAATGCCCCAGCTGAGGGAAGTGGCCCCCACCTGCTGGCGATTCTCATGCTGCAGGTGCAGCCGAGCCTGGATGTAGCCTCGGGTCTCCTGAAAGGCTTGGCGCTGAGACACTTCAGCAGGGTAGTGTGTGCAGATGCCGATGGCGTTGGTGCAGAGAAAGAGCACCACGTTAGCACCGAGCTGTAGAAGGGTGGCACAGGCAGGCGAATGACCATCTCCCCAGCACCCAAGCATCCGCACCCCCACGCACACTAGCTCCTGGGCTCTCTCAGGACATACTGTGAGCAGGAAACAAAGCCCCGCACTCTGTCCCCAAGCTGGGCCATCCCTGTGACACACTGTTCCCCCCTACAGATCTCCAGATCCCAGCCTGCCTAGATCACTCTTTGACCAGAAAGATGAGCTGCTCACAGCTTCAGAAGCAGGAACACCAACCACAGCCACATAGGTTACCTACGGTCCTAGCCCAGGCACCCTGTAATCTCCTGCCCCACAAACAATGCTAACAACAGGCAAGTGTTCCTTCTGCGTGCGGCTCTCCTCACAGCGCAGCACCAAGGAGGTCCGAGCTTCCCATCCACTTCTGGGTAAACCAGGTGAACCAGGACAAGCCACTTCCTCTGTCTAGGCCTCCATTTACTCAACTGTAGCCCAAACAAGAGGGATAATATCTCTAAAGCCTCCCCAACGCCAGATTGAATAATAAGAATGACCACTATTGGGTTTTGTTGTTACTGTTGAATTTTTGAGATAGGGTCTCACTATGTGATATTACAGGCTGGCCTCAAACTCACGGCGATCCTCCTGCCTCAGATTCCCAAGTGATGGGATCGCAGATGTAAGCCGCTATTGCTGTTGTTATTATAGCTGCCAGTTTGCTGGCCACCTGCAATGTCTAGGATCCTAAGGATGAGTTCCATACGTTAACTGATGGATTTCTCACACGTCTGCGAATAAGGTAACAGCATCCTACTTCACAGTTGAGCGAGTCAAACACAGAGGAGCCCGGTTACTTGCCCAAGAGCCCACAGTTGGTTATGGCTGGCATGAGACTGGAATCCTGGACAATCAGACTCCAGAGCCTCTGTCCTAACCCCACTGTCTGGTATAGCCCACTCCTGAAGGCCAGTCTCAGAGCTAGGCAACCATCAATCCGACTAGTAGAAAGGACGCATGGCCACCCCTACTACCAAGTATGATTCTCCTCCTCCTCCTCCTCCTCCCTCCCTCTCACGCCTCCATCTCTTACACACACACACACCCCACCAAGGCCTCATGCCTAAGCCCTCACCCACAGCACAGCCAGTCCTAAATCAGTCAGCAGAACTGACTGGAGAGCAAGTCCAAGGGAAGCGCGTCTCAGTGTTGCTGGAGACTCAGGGGTTAAACCGTGGCACTGGGACTCCACCCAAGCTGCAAGGGGCAGGGCTATGGTTAGGGAGAGGAGAGGGAATGCACACCAACTGCCCTGAACCAGAACTAGCCCTGCAGACTTGGACAGGACTTCGATTCCTCTGTGGAAAACTGAGGCCTGGCTAACTCCGGGCTCTTAACTCCAGCACGGACCCGCCGGCACTGGCCTTCAGCTGCCCTCCCTGTCCACGCAGCTCCCAGAGAGCCCATGCAGAACTTCCCCTCTCGGGAGCAGGGGTGAAGAGGGGGCACTCTATCTCCCTTGGGGGCTTCTAAGAATAGCCCCCAGTGGGGGAGTAGGAGGGGGCAATCCAGGCAACTTCCCTTCCTGGCCCCAGGAGCCCAAGAGGAAAATGTGAGTCACAGTGTAGGGAAGGGGAAGAGCGGTGAGGGACTGAAATAACTCTCTACACACATATCCCTATCTACCGTGAGAAAAAAATGGATGCCAAGGCTCTGGAGGTGACCCCAGCCTAACCGATGTCCCTGCTCAGCGTGTCTCAACGAGTGGGTCAGGAAGACGAGTTCTCCCTCTGAACACGAGTCGGGCTGGATCTGGGAAGGGGCTGGCCAAGGAGGCTACAGGTCCCTGCTCCATGCAGGAACACAGGCCCAGGTGGGCACATGAGACTGTTCTCCGTTCCCAGAAGCTGAATGGGCAGCCACAGCCCCACAGATGGGCGCAAGCAGCACAATTTTCTCTACCATCCCAGGAACGCATCTGCAGAGACCCCCACGGGGTGAAACCGAAGCCAGGCACCCTGGGGAGGTAGGAGGCTGGCAGTTCCGGGGCCTCCCAGGCTCAGCCTCCCCCATCAGGCACTGGGCTGGGCCCTGGGCACCAGGCCAGCTGAGAGCAGAGAAGAGCCACACACCCACCTTCTGGCAAGTCCGGCCCGAGAGGGGGAAGGGAGGCCCTACTCCTAAGCTTCTCCCCTAGAACAGGAGTTCTCCCCAAATCCCTGCTTCCCAGGCCGCCTAGAAGAGAACCTAGGACCCAGCACAGGGAGCTCGGTCTGGCCCTTTAAGGGGTCTGACACTGCCCGGGGGGGCACTTGCTGCACCACAAACTAGCTACAAAGGTACTTTTAAAGCATATGTTCTGTTCCAGGCCAAGAAAGGCATCATGCCAAAGCACCCAGCTTCTCACCCCTGGAGCCCCAGACAACTTGCTCTCTGTGTTGTGAGGCCATGGTGGACTATGGGCTACAGCCTTTGGCAAGGAGCTGGGGCCTTTGCCTGTGGAAGTGTCATTAACCACCTACAGCTGCTTCCCGGGGGCTGACACCAACCAGAGCTTGAGTCTCAGGGGGTCAACAAGAGGTCAGAGATGCAAGGCCTGCACACAGCCTGTCTGCAGACGACACTACTTTTTCACTGACCTCGGCCAAAGAGGTAAAGACTGGCCTACCGGGGAACACACTACGGACCTGTCCAAGCAAGAGGCCAAGCCCTGAAACCCCAGCCTGATAGATCCAGACATCTCCCAACTCAGCAAGTGCCCTTCCCACACCTCCCCAGGGCACCCCAGGGCACCTACCTGCTTCCAGAGGAAGGGATCGCCGCGGTTGAGCTGCCAGGCCAAAATCAGATGCAAGGTGGAAAGGCCCAGGCCGCTGAGCACTGCGGCGCGCATGCGGATGGGAAGGAGCGTGTAGGTGATGTAGACGAAGAACACGGGGCACCAGAGGCCCGCAGAGGGGCTGTGTGGGCTGGCCGCTAGGGTACCCCCGACTTGTACAGCCGCTAGGATGCCCAGAACCACGTAGCTCACCACCCACATGGAGTCCTGGCGGAAGCTGTGCCGGTTACACACCACCATGAGCGCCACGAACAGGGTGGCGGCGCAGGTCAGCAGGGCCACATAGGCAGGCTGAGGCCGGGCGGGTGCGGCGTGGAAGGCCAAGAGCACGGCTGTGAGGAGCACCAGCACTGCCATGAGGAGTGTGAGGCTGCTCTGGTTCATCTGGAAGAAGTACCGCTGGTACAGGCGCTCCAGCTTGGCCGAGCGGAACTGCTTCGACTGGAAAACCTGCACCACCCGGTGCCAGCAGGACCGGCCGCTCCTAGGCGATGTGTCTGGTGCCACTTCAGCCGTCGCCAGCGGTGGTGACACCTCAGTGTCATCAAAACCCAAGGCCACCGACCGCAGCCCCAGCTCCATCCCCCTGCCTGGGCCAGGCCTCCTGATGAAGGCCTCATCCTGCCAGGGGCACCGAGGAGCCTGAGCCGCGGGAGTGGGGCTGGGGGGCTCTGCATCCTTAAGGCAGCTCATGTAGCGGGGTGCGCAGAAGCCACTGGCCCGAGTCCCATGGCGTGGGCGCTTCTGCCCGTTGCGTTCGCCCCAAGCCGTCTTCCGTTCATCCACTTTGGGAACCAGGAGGCCACTAAACCATGACATGCTGCTGGGAGGAAGGGGCACGGGTATTAATACCACCGTTGTGGCCACAGCCACCATAGCGGCTTATTCCCTGAGCAGTTCCTACAGCTCTGTTCTCTATGCCCCACATCCTGATAAAACTCTCCAGAGGGGGCAGCAGCCTTCCCGCTCAACAGGTAAGGGACTGGGACATAGAGAGATGGAAAAGACACAGCTACTATACAAGTAAAAAAACCAAGATTCCGAGGGTTGGAGAGAAGATGGCTCTGAGGTTAAGAGTACTGTCTGCTCTTCCGAAGGACCCAGGGTTCCATTCCCAGCTCATAGCTGTCCATGGCTCAGTTCCAGGAGATCCAACACCCTCACCCAGACATACATACAGGCAAAATACCAATGCATATAAAAGTAAGTTTTAAAAATTAAAAAGAAAAAGAAAAAGCAAGATTCTAAGCTTGACTAGCCGGCAAGGCCAGTACACTTAATAATTTACCCTAATGTTAATAGTGTTGTTTTGTTTTGGTTTGGTTTTTCCAGACAGGGTTTCTCTGTGTAGCCCTGGCTGTCCTGGAACTCACTCTGTAGACCAGGCTGGCCTCGAACTCCCAAAGATCTGCCTGCCCCAGCCTTTGTCTCCTGAGAGCTGGGGTTAAAGGCGTGCACCACCACCACCCAATAGTACTGACTTCACCACCACGAACCAGGGTACCCACGTCGAGGACAATGAGAAAAACACATTTGACAGACCGAGACATGAGGACAAGAACCACATAGTACCAGTTGACCAGTGCCATTGGTGTCCCAATGGGGCCTGAACTTCTAATTTTTTCAGCAGAAGCCAAAGAAAACCTTGGATTTCAGTATGACATCTCCCAATTTTTAAATGTTATTAATTGATATATATTTTACAATGCTACATACAAGCCAAATAAATCCTGTCAATGGAATGAGTTCTACTTTGAACTGCCAATTGATGACCTCTATACAAAAGGCACTCTTTCCACATCCTTATCACACACACACACACACACACACACACACACACACACGTACATACACAAGCACACACATACACTTCAGCAAGCTAAATTCAATTTCTCCCACAGGTCACAGCTCAAGTGTTATTTCCTCAGGGAAGACCTCCCAGCCCCACCCACCCCTAGACCAAGTTTGGTCTAGTTTCACTTCTGTTCATTTCCTCCACAGGACTTATTGTCATTTATAAATAAATCATTCCTTGTTTAATATATGCCTCTGTCCCTAGGACTCTAAGCTCTATGACAGTAGAAACTACACATATTATGGTCAGCACTTTATCTCCAAAGCCAGGTACTGGGTCTGGCTAACAGTAGGTGCTCAATAAATATATGACCAAAAAAAAAAAAAAAAAAAAAAAGACAAAAAGAAAGGTGGGCTGGGCTGGGCATGGAGTGGAGTTTGGTAGCAGATGCTTGTGTAGAACGCACAAGGCCTCGGCTCCCATGCTTAGTATGACAGATAAAGAGATGGGGAGACAATAAGGAAGCTTGAGGGCATGGGTGCTATGGGGGGCCAACATCCAGTAACCACTAATAATGACAATCCTCATCTTCCTCACGGCACCTGTCACATCAGCTGGTCTGTTGTTCCCACGTACCCCGAGCTCAGCCCAGACCAGCACGCTGGTACTCACTGTTCCCATCCGGAACAAGAGCTCCTTCAGGTCACAGCCCAAGTCCCTTATCAGCACGCCTCTTACCACCCTTTGAAAATAGCAACTCCCTTTCCTGGGGCTCCCTATCTCTCTTCCCAGCTTTATAATTTTTCTCCCTCCAGGGCCCTTATCAGCAACGGCCATTCTATAATTTTTCTTATTTGTTCAGTTCTCTGTCACTCCTAACGGGAATGCCAACTTGGTGGAGGCAAGGATTTGGGCAAGGTTTTGTTTGTGTGTGTGTGTGTGTGTGTGTGTGTGTGTGTGTGTATACTGTGGTGTCTACCACTACTATATGTTTGCTGTTTGCTGAGTGGACGGACGTACGTTAGCTAGATTATATTTTCTCTCTGTCACAAACTTTCAAGAGCTTTTCACATGCTTGATTTCATCTGGATTTCCATCTTCACCAAAAGCCTGTGAAGCTGGTCCTAAGACCATGGGCGGAGGGTGGCGGGGGTGGGGGTGGGGGGTGCGGGGTGGGGTGGGGGTGGGGGGAACCAGGACAAATTTGAGAAAAACAAAAGGTGATGAACAGGACAATTTTCCATGGCCTACCCACGTAGAGACCCTGGACAACCAAATCAGTCTTGGATCCTAAATTCCCGGGAAGGACAAGACAAGCCTTGGACCGGCATGGATGACTCCATAACAACCGCCTTACCGTGTGTCCCGTGTGTCCCGTGTGAGCATGAATGCAGTGTCACCCATGGATGACACCACCACCACCACCGGGGCCACACTCCTCCATGCCTGCAGGGCACCCCGAGGGGCCCCTTGTACCTACTGAGCTGGCAGCATTGACATTTGTACTCACTAGGGAACTAGAGAGCTGGCTCACACAGCACCTGCCCCAGGTGGCCCCAGATCCAGACACTGGGGAGAGAAGAACAACACTCTGAGCAGCTGCTGGGGGGCGGGGGGGGGGGGACCTGAAAGCAGAACCTGAGCTGGGGACTTCTCTGCACTCCATCTCTGGGTCTCCCTCGGCCAAGTTCTGCCAGGGTCCTTTCTACAGCCACAGGGTAGCATGCCCTTCAACTTCTTAATGCCAACAGCACCATCTTGAAGGACAAATAAACCAGAAGTACAAGACTTCTGGTCAGGCTGGCATTTGGAAAAGGTCACCAAAGAAACCCTGGCTATTCAAAACACTTCACTGGAAGCATGATCTTTGGCATAAGACCAGGTTTCACACCGTAAAGGGATTTGCCATCCTGCTGGGACAAGCTAGCCACCTGCCCCCCCCACACACACACACACTCTCAGTCTCTTCCCCCCGAAAGGTGGGAGTGGAATGGTCCTGATGAGAGAATCTCACACTCCCTGCCATGTCGTACACTACAAATATTAGTTCTCCCCACCTTACAAACCTTTGAATGCAAAGCTCTGCCAGTGTCCAAGAGATGGAAAGACAACAGTCATGAGCAAGGAGAACATGCACCCCTCCGGCCAATCAGACGCCTGGCACTATTAGACCCTATGTCCCTGCTCTCAGTCTCCAGGGCTGCTGGAGACAGAACACAGAGTGCACAGTACCACTGTGGACCGCCCCACTCCACACACCGTGACATTTTGCTTCCGCCTCCTCCCCTTCTCCAGTCCCCTTCCCCGCTCTTATCTCCCCCGCCCCACCACCACCCGCCCAGGTCTCTGTTCCCAAAGGACCTGTTTCTGGCCATGTTCCCAGCCCCTGGAAGCACATCCTAGCATCTGGTTCATACCACAGAGGAAGGGACAGACACTATCAGAGAAACGGATGGCCCTTGGAGAACATGCTGACTCCCCACGGGGATGGCTTCAGAGCTCTGGAACTGTGCAACTATCCCATCCCGGGGCCCTCCTCAGGCACTGCCCACCCTGGAGAACTTGCGGGCTCTCAACACTCCTCCAGGCGAGGCTAGTCCAGCAGGAAACCAGAAGGCATTGTTCCAAGCCACAAAATGTCTCTATATGTCCCTCCCCCCCCAAACCTCCCTGTTCCGGGACCCCTCTCCATGAATTCCAAAAGCGCAGACCATGTCCCTCTTCTGCCCTCAGGCTCTTGAGCCTTATGCCTCTCTGACCTCCCCCTCCCCTGAGGCCTGGTCCCTTTGCTCTCTCTCACAGATCTGCTGTTCCATACACAATCAGCTCCCACAGCCAAAGTCATGTCCATTTAGCGCCAAGTCCCATAGTCCCAGGCCCAGTGTCTCCCAGACCTCAAGTCCCGCCCAAATCCTGATCCTTCAGCCCGAGACCAGGGTCTGGAAGCCAAGGCTTGGCCTCAAGAATGGCTCTGCCCACTCTTCTGCCCAGCCCTCTTCCTGGCCACCTCTCAGCCACCTCATCCCCCGGGGTCTATCTGCCTCTGCCCTGGTTGGCAAAATGGTTTAAAAGACTTCGGAAAGTTCACATAGAAGGCTATGCCCAGGGGAAGGCCCGACACTCACCATGCTGGAACCCAGCCCTCTCAATATCCAGGCCTGTCCAGATGTAGGGGAACCTCCCCAGGGCCTGGAGGTTCAGCACAGCCTACCCCAGCCCTGGTTCTCCCTAAGGGCCAAGAAAGGCTCCCATGGCCAGCTCCAACCATACAATTCCCCTCAGGCCCTCTGGCTACAGAGGCATTCTGGGGACACAGATCCACGGAAAGACTCTCCCACCACCTAGTCCCACCTCTGGCTTTTCAGTCAGGCCGCTGGGCCTGCTCTGAATAAAGTCTGCCCACACCACACCCCACCCCTGCCCACCCCGCAACAGGCCTTGGGGAAGTAGGCACTGATACTACCCTCTCATTCCAAAGGTTCAGGGTGAGGGCAGGGAAGGGGCCTCCCTCTCCTCTCAGAGCTGTCTCAAACACTCCAAACTCACCCCCTCCCATCCCCATGCCAACCTCAGGGGGCATCTCCTCCCCGGGAGCATGCCTGCTTCTCCGCTTCTCTGGGCGAGCCTGCAAACTCTGGCGAGTGCAGGAAGGAAAGCTCAGTGGCGTGGAGCGAGGGTGGGAGCCTCCAGCCCGGCCCGAGGAGCCCCCGGGTTCCCATCTCCTCCAGCACTTCTCAGGCACCCCGCAAACTGTCGAGACTCCCCTGTGATCGCTTCGAGAGCCTCGCCGGAGCCCGCTCCCCCGCGCTCACCTGCCGGGGGT